TATTCCTCTATAAGGGGTAACTGCGAGTGCTGTCTCGTATTCGCCTCAAAAAAATTTGTGACATTGAAAGAACAAGTTATGGCAACCCGCCACCCGAAGCATTACCTTATCGACATACCTGGGTGGTGAGCTTATAGCCAGTTTTTAAGGGGGGGAAATCCCACTGTATTTTGGGTACCCACAGGTGATGTTAAAAAAATATTCTAAAATTTAAGTTTATATTTATCTTATAAGAGTAATGGTTTCGTATTTTAACTAATGTTGCTTAAATTAAATGGAATTTATTCTAAAATATTTGGCAAAAATAAATTATGTTTTATAATAGAAAAACTAGAACTACATTTTCGTGTAAAAACTTATTATGATAATATAACAGCTAAAATTCACTACAAAAGTACAAACAATAAACAATTATAACCGTCTGTAAAAAATATACAAGATTCCAAAAAAACATATTCATGATACTAATTACCACAATATTAAATAAAACATTTGATTTATTTTTATTTAACTATTTATACATTATAATTTATTAAATATACCAGCTTTTTTTGTTATGAAAGGCCCAAAAGTATAGTAGGCACCTCCTAAATGCAGGTCTCTACACGCTTATGAATATAGTATACTTGAATGAAAAAGTTAATGAAAAAAAATTGTACCTGGCAATTGTTAATAATTAATTTAAGAATAAGGTTATATAACTTAAAAAAATGAATAAAAATAAATAATAAATAATAATAATAATAATAATAATAATAATAATAATAAATAAAAGTAAATTTTTCAAAAATTACAAAATAAATTGTTTATCCTTATTTGACCCTAAAATAATAGTTTTGTTAAAAATTATATTTGTCTTAAATATTTCATAGTGTAGGCTTGAAAGGATAAGAAAAGGGTTAAAAGTTCTTACCTGTAGAAATATCTACATAAACTATCTTCAATGACTGGTGAATCTGCTGTTTGAAAAGTTAACAAATCTACCTCTGGTCAGCGATATTGGGAAAATAGTTAATTGACAAATTAAAATTGTTTAAATTTGAAACTTTAAAGCAGGAGTCTCCAACCTTTTTTTACCGCGGGCCAAATTTGATATACGCTTTGGCATCGCGGGCCAACATTTTTAGAAAAATAAATAGGTTATAAAATTGAGCAATAAATAATAATAAATAAGATTTATTTAAAAAATGTATGTTTATTTATATAATTATTTTATTTTATAATTCAAAATTTCGTTTTATTATGATAAGAGTAAGTTATTTAGTGAGACGTTTGGAACTGCTTGTCTTTTAAAATGTCTTGAAAGTTTGCATCAAACTTTGTGGTTCCAATTAGCAGCGTCGCTTGTAAATGTTCGTCACTTAAGTTAGTTCTGTACTTAGATTTGACATATTTCATTTTTGAAAATGTCTGCTCACATAAGTATGTTGAGCTAAATATTGATATCATTTCACGCGCATGTTTTTTGAGATTTGGAAATGATTCCTCTGGCAACATGGCGTAAAATTGTTGGAGACTAGCTTCCTTGAAATAGTCTTTGAAATTGTTGTTTGATATGAGCTCGATAACTTCAAGCTGAAACTCTGTCGGTAAAGTTTCTATTTTTAATGCAAATGGATTTTCAAAAATTCGAATACGGTCTTCTGCACTTTTGAAATCTCTAAATCGGGTCTGGAACTGCTCTTTTAAATAGGTGAGAACTCCAACAGCAAAATCGGTAGGGAATTCTTCATCATTTTCAAGTTTGAATTTGTTGCATGTTGGAAAATGGGCAAGATTTTTTTATATTAATTGATTTGTGAATAGATTTAGTTTTAATTTGAAAGCTCTAATGTAGGAATATGTATCTGAAATCAACGAGTTAGCTCCTTGCAACTTTAAATTTAACTCATTAAGGAGCTGAGTTATATCGACGAGAAAAGCTAATTTCCATAGCCATGTTAAATCAGTTAACTCAGTTATAACACGGTTTTTTTCTGTCATAAATGTGTCGATTTCTGAACGAAGATAAAAAAATTTTTTCAAGACGTGACCTCGGCTGAGCCAACGAACTTCGCAATGATAGGGAATATCTAGGTACTCGCTTTCAATTTCAGCAAGAAAGTTCTTAAACTGACGGTGACTGAGAGCACTTTTTCGAATATAATTTACATTCTGCACAACAATATTCATAACTTCAGATATTGGTGCATTTTTCCCACACAAAGCTTGCTGGTGTATTATGCAGTGAATAGCCATTGGTGCTGCTGCACCAGTCTCAAATACAGCTTTACAAATATTTCCAACCAAACCTGTATGTGCTCCACACATGTTGCGTCCACCATCAGTAGTTACGCCTTTTAAAATGCTAAATTCAAGACCCAAAGTAAAAATAGATTCTTTTACCTTCAAAAAAATTTCATTACCAGTACATGAGTCTTTCATTGAGTGGACAGCGGCCAATTCTTCGGTTATTTCAAAAGATTCATTGACTCCGCGAACGAATAAAAGCACCTGCGCTGAGTCTGAAGCGTCGGTAGATTCATCCAAAGCAATTGAAAAATATTTAAAGCTTTTAGAAATATCTTTTAATTGACGAATAATATCATTTCCGAGATCTGTGGTACGTCGCGCAATTGTATTCGCTGACAAGCTAATACCGGTGAATAAATTGATTTTATCGGGACAAATCTCTTCAACTGTCTTCAAAATGCACTCCTTTACAATTTGGCCATCAGTAAACGGTTTTCCGGCTATCGCCAGAGTACGAGCTACTTGAAAACTTGCCTTTACGAGGGATTCATTTTGACATGACCGTTTAATAAAAATTGACTGTTGAGCTAGTAAATTCTGTTTTAAGATTTCAAATTTGTCCGATCGTAGTTTACCAGATAGGTCGTTATATGTAGATGCGTGCTTGCTTTTATAATGTCTACCAATATTATATTCTTTCAAAACAGCAACCTTTTCCTTGCAAATAACGCATAAAGCAACATTATTTTGTTCAATGAAGAAATAGTCATTATTCCACTTTTTGTTAAAAACACGGCACTCTGTATCGACTTTCCGTTTTTTACTTAAACTCATATTTATTTTAATACAGCACAGAGCACTACACTCGATAATAAATGACACTTAACTACAATAATCATAAAAACTGATTCTACATAATTTATAAATTATACCCGATACACTACAGTGGACTCACGGAGTTAGAAAAACCCGTCGATTACACGTTCGATAGCATTATTATTACAACGGAAAAAGTCGATCATATCTTATCTGACAATCGCGTAAGTTTTGAGTACAATATTAGGCAGATAAGTGTGATTGATGAGTTTTTCTATTATTAGTGTTAGTATATATTTACAAACATTATAAATTGTTATGAATAATACCAAAAGAAAAAAAATAATAAATTTATTTTATTTTATTAATTAATTCAATAAAAAATAAATTAAACTAATGAAAATTAATATTAATATTAATGTTTTTTTATATATTATTTTTAAAACATTAATTAGCTAGGCGGGCTGGTGTAAAAACCTTGGCGGGCCGGATTCGGCCCGCGGGCCGTAGGTTGGAGACCCCTGCTTTAAAGTATTAATGAAACTTATGGCTTCAGAAGAAATTAGAAGGAAATTATATGTGTTTACTTACAACTCCGTTGTTGATGTGACAAATATTTCGTACGAACTATTGTTAGGTTGAAAAATTGGTGAAGGCGAAAGGAACATAAAAAGGAGCAAAAGATCGGGATTGACGTTGAGGAACTCTAAAACAAATTAAGGAAAGCAAATAGGGAGAGTCAATATTACCTTGTAACTATGTTGTAAACTACCTTGTAAATTATTCAGGAACTTAATGCCCGAGATTCGTCGACTGTCAACATAAAATTAATGAAAAAATTATTATAGTTATTTAATAGTAAGAGTGCCTGAGTGAGCAATATACCATGAGCAATATTTAATTGCGTTTTCCTAGTTCCAACGGGTATGCATATAACCTATGTAGGTAACTTCGTCAACACAGGTCTTTCGGAATTTTAATTGGGTTTGGGTACGATTGGTATTTTCAAAGTCAAAGTCATATAAATCTTTAAATAATTATTATTTATCAGTAATATACCAATAATTAATAATATTATATTTGTAATAGTATATATAGTTTACCCAGAATTCAACATTCTAAAAGCAAACCATTTATTTTATCAACTATTAGTCTCCCAAAATTCAAACTAAGTTGGGTACCAGTGTGGCATTTAGAAATGTGCATAAATTATTTTTGTCAGAATGTAATTTATGAAATATAATTGAAGATAATTTTGAAATGAGTAATGAATCTGATGATAATGAATGTAGTAACTATGATTTTTATGATATTCTTACTGGAGATTATTCTGTTAAAAAAGTAAGACCATTAAAAAATAATGCTAATAAATAAAAATAATAAAAATAAGTACAAATTTAGCAAGTGCGAAAGCGCTTTTTAGTTTTGATACAAAAAAAAAAAAGATTTAAATATTTTAGGTATGTTACCTATTATTAAAAAAGTTTTCCATAAATATAACACAACTCTACCATCATCCGCCCCAGTTGAAAAATTGTTTAGTAGCGGTTCCCAAATATTGACTCCTAGGAGAAACCGTCATTCTGACAATTGGGATGTTGATGTGTTGTAAATATTTGAATAAATAATATATTAATATTATAAGTTAAAAGTAGTATATTAATCTTTTAATCTTTGTATTGTTAATGTTATAAACATCATATTTATAAATAATTCTTATCAGCTGTGTATAAATTATATTATCATAATGTTATCATCATAACATCAAATAAAATGTTCTTTTAATTATTGTATATTATATACTTATAAAATGTACATAGTATAAATGATATTTGATGTATTTTACCTAATAACAATATTGTATATTTACTAATACAAATTTAAATACATACTAAAACTGTTGTTAAGGTTCATACTGATAAGAATTTATTGTGACGAGTCGTGAAAATATTTTACCAGTGGTATAATACTAAGATGGGGCCATAGACGAAAATAACCCCCCAAAAGATTTAGTGTTAGTTGCGCTACTGGTTGGAGGCCTAAGGAGCGAAGGGTAGTTTTATACTTATGTCTTATTGGGCCGGTCATCATTATGCCCTACGCTAGTAAATATTTAAATGACGCCCCTGACCGCAATTATTAATTATTTATAGAAAACACTATTAATAACTTATAAGGTAGGTATATTTAGGTATATTATATAATATTATAAACATTTTTATACAAATGAATGTAGAATATTTTATATTATTTTTAAAATCAAGAGGAATGAAGTTAATCATTGATGAAAATTTTGAAAAACAAAATATGCTAGCTTTTACAGTTTCACTTCATCGTGTATAATACCATTTTGGGATCAATATACATATTAACAACATAACGGATATCCTACTTTCCTATATTATAAGATAAATGATAATTTTTTCTTTTAAGCTGCTTTGTATAATAATAGGATTTGTTATTTGTAACTAAGTATTATGAAAAATTTTATAATTTTGAACAGTTTTTAAAATATTTAATAAAAATGTACATATTATATTATTAATATCTATATTTTATAATTTTGTGTTGTATAAAACAAAAAGCATATTATATTGATATTTATTAAATTTGTATGTTGAGAGAATATTATAAGGATTTTTTTCACTAAATAGTTTGTTTTAACTTAAATTCAAGGCTTTGCACCCGAATAATTTTTTCAGGTTTCGGGTTTCGGGTGTTGAATATATTCGGGTGTTCAAACACCGCAATACAACATTTAAACAAACGTTTGGGTGTTAATAACCGTTATTATTTGGGTTAATATTGGTTAATACAGGTGTTATGTAGTTAAGGAAAAATATTATTTTTCATTGGTGGAGGGTAGTGAGCCCCCTCCACCAATGAAATATTTATATTTTTTGTTACCTACCTATGTAATAAAATAGTAATTTCTTATACAACTGTGCAACAGTTTTTTAAACCAAACTATCATTATGTTAATTTCAAGCAATTGTGTAACTACGATTTATTTTCGGGGAAGAGGGGGTTATTTTATATGTGTATGAAGCTTACAAATTGTAATATCTATTAAGATTAAAAATACTAACACTATGTCCTACTCCTAGTTAATGTGGGCATATCGCATGCGACAAAAAACAAACTAAATCGGGGGGGGGGGGCTTGAGGGAACTAAGTCCCCCAAAAATATAAAGTACATGTCTTAGCCCTCCTAGCCCTAAAAATTGTTAAGTGACTAAAAATACAATAATTATTATAGTTGTAAAATGCATTTCTTAATAACTGAATTAAAAAAAAATATTCTGTGATAAAAATTAAATCAAATTTGTAAGATTTTACAAACTTCTAGTCATGATTTGGAACGATCGCAATTAATGTAATATTAATAATATGTAATAATACCCGTATAGGTTGTTTAATTTAATTAATTAATAATATCTGTTTAGAGCACCTACTCCAAAAATGTTTAAGATAAGGCACCTAATTGTTGATTAAAAATGTCAAATTGTCAAACTTCGTAAATAGCCTTGTTGAATAAATACTTGCGCACAGTGGTATCTATAGGTAAAATAAGCAAATAATGCTCAGCCCCCCTCCCCCACAAATTTCACCAAATTTCCGCTTATGGTTTGTGACGCGTGCACAGTGTGTATTGAACACACTTAAAACTCACTAGCTAGGACATAGCGTAATACAAAAATAATAGTAATTTGTACTTAATAATGTTACGATGAAATTATTACATCAACAAAAATTGACAATTCACGACATAGACATGTGTACTACACGCCATACACTGAACAAATACGAATAATGCGAACAACAATTTAGGTAATCATACGCGAGACATCAGTTCTATTTCAGCCTTACAGTATTGCAATAAATAACGACTCGGTGATTCGTAAAGACCTATTACCTATTAAATTATAATAATACGACGTATTCGCTTGGGATAATTTTAAAAATAGTATCCCAGTTTTTATACTTGAACATTCAACATACTATACCATTCATGCACAACAGTCGATATGATTTATTGCTATTGCCTATATTTAGATAAATTTATATTAATTAACAATTTTGTATATTATTTGTGAAATTATTCCTGTGAATAATAATTTTACTATTAAACAACTAATGACAAAACTGAAATAACCACAAAAATACATATAAAATGATATGTAACATAAAGATTGTAAAATAAAAAATTATTCGGGTTTCGGGTTAAAACCAATATTTTATTCGAGTTTTGGGTGTTTGATTTTTTAAGGGTTTTTAGGGGTATTACGGGTTCAGGTTAATTCGGGTGCAAAGCCCTGCTTAAATTACTTAAATTTTAGGTATTTTTATTCTTTTATAGTGATTAGTGAAGTTTGTATCTTCGTGATATTTTTATAAACATATTTCACAAATGATGAACAACTACATACCTATTCAGTCCATAGGCATCACTATGGGGTATCGAGAGGTATTTTTGCTACCCCAGAAATTTGTTGAGGTAGCAAGGGTATTTTTTTGCTAGGTACTCAAAAAAAGTTATAGATTTTAAAATATATTCGAAGTTTATTATTCAAGTGTATACGAACATAGACCATCTATTGTTGTAATTGTATCCAAAATAATTATATTTCGTTTTAAGTCCAATACGGATAATGAGACAGTGTATATACCAGGACCGGCGTTAGGGGGAGGCCAAACGGGGCATTAGTCCAGGGTCTCACGCTTAAAATTTTCATTGAAAAATATTTTGTACGTAAATCTCATAAAGTAAAAAGTGAAATGCTAGTGCGATTTCTAGAGAAATCCGTTGGCCTATAATAAAAAACCAATTAACAAAACAACACTATTATATTTTATAGGTACCTATGTCATGTATGCAGCAACGACGATCCATACGGCACGTCGCACAGTACGGAAACCGGGATACATAAAAAAATTGTTTTATTGCATACCTAAAATGTAATCAGTCATTACCCGATATCGCATATATTACATGTTAACGCTTTTGATTGCGGCCT